TTTTTATCAATAAACTGATTTAACTAATTTAATAATGTTTATTAATTCAACTAGCAACTATTGATGTATTATTTATGAATAAATTGTATATAATTAATTTGATTTAATTTAAATACTTTGAAAATTTTTGTTATTATACATATAATAATAATATATATAATATTTATTTAAAAATGATAATGCTTATTTAAAAAAATAGTTTTTTAATTTAATATTATATTTTTATTATTATTATTTGTGTAATAATTTTTTTTTTAAAAACATAACTTCAAATTAGTTAAAAAAAATTATTAAAACATTGAGAGATTAAAACATAAAAGTTTATTAGAAATTTAAATGACTTTACATATATATCAATTAAAATATTATTAACAAAATTTTCATTGATCTCAAATAATTACAACTTAATTAATTAATTAGAAAAAACAATAATTATTTTTAATTTTAAAAAATCAAATAAATAAATATAAAGATTATAATTTATAAAGTGTATATAATTTTGCTGTTTTTATATTAAAAATATTTAAAAAACAAAGTAATAGCTCAATAAAATCAAATAATAAAAAATAATAAATACTTTCATTGTTTTTTTTCAACAAAAAAGAACTTAAAAATTATTAATTATTATTAGTATTATTTTAAAACATTTTTACAAATATCAATAATTTTGTCGATCAATGTTTGCAATGTCTTACTAAACGTTTGAATGGGTAAGTACTGGGCGGGTATAATACCGGCCACTTTAGTACTGCCCAATACCGATTGGATGGCCTGATTGCTGGCCCGGCCTATCAATTGTAACAATTCGACAAATACTGTACCGACTTGTTTGGGCGCCTCCTCGGCCGTTAATTGTTTGCCAACACTATCCGATAGTTTATAGGTAACCGGTCCGAAATGTTTGTCCAACAATGGCTTACCCTGACGTTGCTTACCCGCCAATAATGGTTGAATAGTTTGATGTATTGTTTGGCCAATTTGTTTGAACAATTGACTGACCAGTTTCATAGCCGCGCTAACTGCCGGTGCTTTCTGGGCGAATCGTTTTTGAAATACGTCGGCATCGTCGCCAAGATCTCGGATTATTTCGGCAAAATCATCCCGAATGGCAAACATTAGGTCATCGGCGGGTACTTTACCGAAACGATCGAAAAATTGGGTAAACATTTTACCCGTAGATTCGAGTCCCGGTTTATTTTTCTTGACAATATCATTGAAACCGTTTCGCTTATTCATAGCCACCAAATCAAATTTGATTGGTTTAGTATCTATAGGTGTATATATAAAACAATTTAGTTATGTATGTATGTGTGTATGTGTTGATATATATATATATGGATATTTATGTATATGTGTATGTGTGGTTATGTATGTATATGTATGGAGATGATATGTATGTATGCGTGTGTGTATGTGTGGATATGTATGTGTGTGTATGGATATGTATGTATGTGTGTGTGTGTGTGTGTGTGTGTGTGTGTGTGTGTGTGTGTGTGTGTGTGTGTGTGTGTGTGTGTGTGTGTGTGTGTGTGTGTGTGTGTGTGAATATTTATCTATATGTGGATATATATTGATAAAAATAATATTTATAATTGTAATTTTAAAAAATATATATTATATTTATATTAATAATTAGTTTTACAGTATTATAACTATTACTTAGTATTAATATTAATAATAGTTTAATTTTTTTAAATTTATAATATATTAATAATAATTATATAATAATAATATTAATATTAAAACAGTTATTATTTAAATAGTTTTTTAATAGTTCAAAAATAAAATAATAATAATTTTTAAATAGATATATTACCTTGATAGCTCATAGAAAATTGCATTGTAAATACAACTATAAGTATAGTTGCTAGTTGATTCTTCCACATTATTATTATAATAATATTTTTTTAAATTAAAATATTAATTAAAAAAAATATAGATTAGTATATTTAAAAAATTTAATAATAATAATAAGTATAATAATATTGTTAAATAAATTTTTATAAAACTATAATATAATTTTGATTCATTGATTATAAACTACATATGTTTATATAGTTTTTTTAAAATCCTAACTAATCATTATTTACTAATAAAAAATATATAATTAATTGTTTATCATTATAACTAAATTTTTTAATTGCTAATAATGTTCTTAAGTGCACATTTTTAAAAAAAATTTAAAAAAATATATTATGATATACAGTATAATTTCATTATATTTTTTAATTACTAATCATTTATTTAAGTACTAATAATTTTTAATCCTAATATTTAAAAAAAATAAATTAACTAAATTATAAAACATATAATTTTGTTATATTTTTCATATTATATTATATAACTAATTGTACAATTAGTTAAAAATCAATAAAATTAATTAATATTGTAATTATTTATTATATTTTATATTATAGCAAATTTAATTTTTATAAATTTAAATACTATTTTAATTTTTTTATTGTATTAAGTAAATAATTAACTAATTTATTTTTTTTAATAAAATTTTTATAAAAATATATATATATGCATTAAAATATAAAAAATAATATTAATTAATAATTGAAAATAAAAATTATCAAACAATGAGCGGTTTAAAGGAGGCTTAAAGTTTAATAGAAATATTGAGAGTTAAAACTTAATGGTATAATTATATTAAATATTTATTTTTTAAAATCTAAAAGTTATTTTTAAAATTATTATTTATGACATTTTATATAAAAAACAAAATAAAATTAACAAAAAAAAAATTATTTTTAGATATTTATTTAATTTATGTTTTAACATGTTTTATTTATAAAAAAATTTAATAAATAAGTACAGTATAATGTAATGCAAATTAATTTTAATATTTATTCAATCATTAAAAAAAATTTAAACAAAAAAATATAGAAATACTATATATATAGTAATATCTGCTTACAAATAAAATATTATATTTTTTATCAATAAAAAAACATAACAATTATTTAGTATTATTATAATTATTTTAAAACATTTTTACAAATATCAACAATTTTGTTGATCAATATTTCCAATGTCTTACTAAACAATTGTATGGGTAAGTACTGGACGGGTATAATACCGGCCACTTTAGTCCTGTCCAATACTGATTGTATGGCCTGATTGCTGGCCCGGCCTATCAATTGTGAATATTCGACAAATACTGTACCGACATGTTTCGGGATCTCCTGGGCTGTCAATTGTTTGCCAATAATATCCGCTAGTTTATAGGTAACCGGTCCGAAATGTTTGTCCAACAATGGCTTACCCTGACGTTGCTTACCCGCCAGTAACGGTTGAATGGTTTGATGTATTGTTTGGCCAATTTGTTTGAACAATTGACTGACCAGTTTCATAGCAGTTGAAACTACCGGTGCTTTCTGGGCAAATTGTTTTTGAAATACATCGGCATCGTCGCCAAGATCTCGGATTATTTCGGCAAAATCATCCCGAATGGCAAACAATAGGTCATCGGTGGGTACTTTACCGAAACGGTCGAAAAATTGGTTTAAAATTTTACCTATCGATTCGAGTCCGGGTCTATTTTTGGCTATAATATCATTGAAACCGTTTCGCTTATTTATAGCCACCAAATCAAATTTGATTGGTTTAGTATCTAATTATATATAAAACAATTTTGTTATTTATGTGATTTTTTTATAAATATATGTGTGTGTATGGGTGTGGATATGTATGTATGTGTGTGTGTGGATATGTATATGTATGTGGATATGTATATGTGTGTGGATATGTATATGTGTGTGAATATGTATATGTGTGTGGATATGTATATGTGTGTGAATATGTATATGTATGTGGATATGTATATGTGTGTGTTTGTATGTGTATGTGGGTGTATGTGTGTGTGTTTGTGTGTATTTGTGTGTGTTTGTATGTGTATGTGGGTGTATGTGTGTGTGTTTTTGTGTATTTGTGTGTGTTTGTGTGTGGATATGTATATGTGTGTGAATATGTATATGTGTGTGAATATGTATTTGTGTGTGGATATGTATATGTGTGTGAATATGTATATGTGTGTGGATATGTATGTGTTTGTGTACGTATATAAATGTATATATATATATGTGTGTGTAGATATGTAGGTATGTGTGTTGGTATTTAAGATTTCAATAATAATTATAATATTTAAAAATAGATAATTATATTATGTTAAAATATTATTATTATTATTATTATTATTAGTAGTAGTAGTAGTAGTAGTAGTAGTAGTAATAATAATAGTAGTAGTAGTAAAAGTAGTAGTAGTAATAGTAGTAAATATTTATATAGATTTAATAGTATAGTGTAATATATTTAAATATAATAAAATAATTATTTAAATTAATTTAAATTTAAATAGTTTTTGTTTAATTTAAAATATATTAATATTAATATATTACCTTGATAGCTCATCGAAAATTGCATTGTAAATACAATTATAAGTATAGTTGCTAGTTGATTTTTCCACATTTTTAATTATTATTATATAGTTTATTTTATTAATATATTTATTGAAAAGTATAAAAATATTAAAATAAAACTATAATATATATTTTTTATACTATCTTAGACTATAAATTACATGTCTTTATATAGTTTTTATATTGTATAAAAAAATCTTATATAAAATCGGATAAAATAGTAGAGACTGTGGTTTTTCAAATAAAACTATATGATAGAATAAAATGATATAAAATAGTAAAATAGTTAATACAATTCTATATTAAGATTTGACTCTCAATTTTATAAATCTAAAAAATATGTAAAAACTATTATTATTTTAAATTATTATTTATTACTTTTTAGATAAAAACAAAAAAAAATTAACAGAAAAAATATTTTTAAGACATTTATTTAATTAAATTAAATGTTTTATAAAAAAAAAATAATTAATATATAAGAATAATGTAAGTAAATGTAATGCAAAGTTATTTTAATATTTATTTAATAATCAAAAAAGTTTAATCAAAAATAATTTATACAAATATATAGTAATATCTGATTAAAAATAAAATATTATTACGATTATTATTATTATTTTAAAACATTTTTACAAATATCAACAATTTTGTTGATCAATGTTTCAAATGTTTTAGTAAACGTTTGTATGGGTAAGTACTTGACGGGTATAGTACCCAATACTTTAGTCCTGTCCAATACTGATTGTACGGACTGATTGAATGCCCGACCTATCAGCTGAAACAATTCGACAAATACTGTACCGATTTGTTTGGGCGCCTCCTGGGCTGTCAATTGTTTGCCAACACTATCCGATAGTTTATAGGTAACCGGTCCGAAATGTTTGTCCAACAATGGCTTACCCTGACGTTGCTTACCCGCCAATAATGGTTGAATGGTTTGATGTATTGTTTGGCCAATTTGTCTGTACAATTGACTGACCAGTTTCATAGCCGCGCTAACTGCCGGTGCTTTCTGGGCAAATCGTTTTTCAAATACATCGATATCGTCGCCAATATCACTGATTATTTCGGCAAAATCATCCCGAATGGCAAACAATAGGTCATCGGCGGGTACTTTACCTAAACGATCGAAAAATTGGGTAAACATTTTACCCGTTGATTCCAATCCGGGTTTATTTTTGGCTATAATATCATTGAAACCGTTTCGCTTATTCATAGCCACCAAATCAAATTTGATTGGTTTTGTATCTATAGGTATATATAAAACAGTTTAGTTATGTATCCGTGTGTGTATGTTTATGTATGTATGTGTCTTTGTGTTTGTGTGTATAAATGTATATGTTTGTAGATATGTACGTGTGTGTATGGATATGTATGTATGTGTGTGTCTATGTATGTGTGTGTCTATGTATGTGTGTGTCTATGTATGTGTGTGTCTATGTATGTGTGTGTCTATGTATGTGTGTGTGTCTATGTATGTGTGTGTCTATGTATGTGTGTGTCTATGTATATTTGTGTGTATATGTATGTATTTGTATATGTGTTTGTATGGATATGTACGTATGTGTGTCTGTGTGGTTATGTTTGTGTGTGTATGTATGTGTGTGTATGTATGTGTCTATGTATGTGTGTGTCTATGTATGTGTGTGTCTATGTATGTGTGTGTCTATGTATGTGTGTGTCTATGTATGTGTGTGTCTATGTATGTGTGTGTCTATGTATGTGTGTGTCTATGTATGTGTGTGTCTATGTATGTGTGTGTCTATGTATGTGTGTGTCTATGTATGTGTGTGTCTATGTATGTGTGTGTCTATGTATATTTGTGTGTATATGTATGTATTTGTATATGTGTTTGTATGGATATGTACGTATGTGTGTCTGTGTGGTTATGTTTGTGTGTGTATGTATGTGTGTGTATGTGTGTGTATGTATGTGTGTGTGTATATATATATATATATATATGTGTGGATATGTACAGTATGTATATGTATATTTGTGTGTGTGTGTGTGTGGATATGTATATAATAAAATAATAATTTTAATAATATAACATATTACCTTGATAGCTCATCGAAAATTGCATTGTTAATACAATTACAAGTATAATTGTTAGTTGATTTTTCCACATTATTGTTTTATATTATCAAAATATTTATTGAATAAAATATTGATTTGTATATTTAAAAAAAAAAGTTTTACTTTTTTAAATATTTACAATACTATTAAGTATAATAATATTGTTAAAATAAGTTTTTTTTAAAAAAATAAAACTTTCATATAATTTTATTATACTGTCTTAGATTTAGAAACTACATGCCTTTATATAGTTTTTTATATTGTATAAAATCAGATACAAAAGTAGTTTAACAGTGGTTTTTCAAATAAATCTATATGATAGAAAATTAATTTTTACAATTATTGAGCTTTAGTTTTTAGATTTGTGAATACCATTTAAAAAACTTATAAATTTTATCATCTTTATAAAAATAACTATTAATTTTTCAAGTATTTACAAACTTTTTAAAAAATGTAAAAACTAAATATTACACATGTATTTTTATAAAAAAAGCTAATCATAATTTCAATTTAATATATTAATAGCTTTAAAAAATAGATAAAAAAACAAAAATTTTTAATTATAAAATTTCTTTATAAAATCAATGTCTATTATGTTAAAACTAAAAAAAATAAAAATATTCTTAATGGAAATTTTACTTTAAAAATTACTTTACAAGAATTTTAGTGAAAAAAATAATATATAATAAATTATCAGTTAAGTTATATTTCTTGTAATTATAATAAAAATTAGATACATATTTGTGTTAACTATTTTCGATATATTTTTTATTTGCAAAAAACCTCTGTCACTATCTCACCATTTTGTCTCCGATTTTCATATATATATATATATATATATTCTACACTTAGATTACATTATTATTTCGAAATAATACTAATCATAATTTTTTTTATAAATTGTTAAAATCATTATTAACAGAATATGAAATTTTCAAATTTTTTTTAATAATTTTTTTAATTGCTAATCATATTTTTAAGTACTAATAAATTTTTTAATGCTAATAATTTTTGAAAAAAAACAATTAAATTATAAATCATATAATTTTGTTATATTTTTCATGTTTGATTATTATCTAATTTTATAATTAGGTTAAAACTAAATAAAATTAGTTAATCAAATTTAGTTGAATTTAATTGAATTGTAATTATTTATTACTTTATATTTAAATACAAAAAAAATAAAAATATCTTTATAAAGATTAAAAATCGGTATCTATTTCTAACCTAAACATATAGTATGTTATCATTACTCCATGGTAACTTTAACTTAAAATTTAACTTAAAATTTTAACTTTAAATAGTTTATTATTAAGCGCCCCCTCCATTAGACCGCACATTGTTTAGATATATTATTTTTTTTTTATTAATTATTAATTAAACCTATTTTCTATAATTTAATGCAAAAAAAATTATTAAATATGTATTATTAATAATTGCAAAAACTATTAATTATAGTTTTTTTAAAAAAAATTAAGTGAACTAGCATACTAATTATTTGTTTAACGATATGTATATATTATATATTAGATTATTAAATAATTTACAGATTTAAAAAAAAGTTTTAATTTTTAAAATATTCATTTATTTATTAATATTAAATCAAATAAAACATTTAGACATAAAACAAAACATATAAAAAAAATTATTATGAAATTAAAATGATTTCTACATTTAATAAAACAAAAAATTATTAGCAATTTTATCTTATAAACATGTAATGGAAAATTACCTGTATTATTTTTTTTAATTAAATAATTTAATGATTTTCATAAATTTATAAAGTTTTTATTATATATAATAATGTCGAAAAAATCTAATAGTAATTGTACATTTAATTGTATTAATCAATAAAATTTTCAGTAAGCTATCAATGTAATATGTCATTTATAAAAATTATTATTTTTAAAAAAAAATTAATTAAACTATTTAAATATCCATTAAGTTGCAACTAATTGATTTACACTAAATAATGTTATATATATATGTAATTTTTAGTTTTATTTATCTATTTATTTTCTATATAAAAGCTATTAATTTATATTGAAACTTATTTAATATTATTTTTGTTTAATATAAAATTTTTACATAGATTAAAAAATTATCTGTGCAATTTATTTTTTTAAAAACATAACTAAGTTAAAATAAAAATTATTAAAACATTCAGACATTAAATATAACATAAAATTTTATTAGAAAATTAAATGATTATATATATAAATATATATATATATCAAATAATAATAAATTAATTTATTAATTAGAAAATTAACAATAATTTATTTAATTTCCAAAAAATCAAATAAATAAATAGTAAGCGACTAATTCTAAAATATATAAAATTTTACTATTTTTTAAATTTTTTAATTGATTTTAGTAATTTTAATATAATACTTAATTTAATTAACTAATAAAAGTTATTGTTTAATTAAACATAAAAAACTAGAAAAATAAAATGATTTTTAATATTTACTTAAAAAATAATTCTCTAATAAACATGTAATGGAAAATTACTTATATTATTTTAATTAAAAAATATAATGATTTTAATAATTTTATAAAATTTAAAGTTTTTTTTTTAAAAATTACACCACAATTAACATGACTATACAGACTATATAAATCCCATGAAAATTATATTAAAATTATTGAATTTAAAATCTAATAATTTAGTTTAAACATTTATTTAGGATTAATATTATAGTTTATATTATTTAAAGTTTATTTTATCAATAAACTGATTTAAACTAATTTTTATAATGTTTAAAATTCAACTAGCAACTGTTGTTGTTGTATTATTTATAATGCTGATTTCCATGAGCCATCAAGGTAAATATTAGATATCACTATATTATAATTGATTGTATATAAAACTATTATATTAATATTAAAAATTATTATTAATATTATTAATTTTTATTATTTAACAAAAAATCATAAATTAAAATATATTTTTTTTATTAATTTTTGCATTTTTTTTAAACACACACAAACTCATACACACTTGCACACACTTATATATACACACACACATACACAAATACATACACACACTCACACATACACACACACACATACATACATAAAAACAAACACACACACATACATACATACACACACACACATACAACACACATACATACATATAAACATAAAACAAACACACACTTACACATACATAAACCCACACTCACACACATATATATATATATATATATATATACATAAATACACACACATACATAAATACAAACACATATATATATATATATATACACACACATTGATATACCCACAGTAGACCCGATACAACCGGTCAAGTTTGATATGGTGGCAATTAATCAGCGAAACGGTTTCGGTACTATTGCCACAAAACTGAAATCCCGTCTCGAAATAATGGGCAACGGTTTGGACAAATTTTTTGCCGCATTCGCCAACGCACCCGTAGATACCGGTGATGATAGCCTATTGTTTATCATACGCGACGATTTGGGTGAGGTATTGACTAATTTTGCCAACGATATGGACGCCTTTGAGCAACAATTTACAAAAAAATCGGCGAAACAAGCAGCCCAAGCGGTCAAACGGGTCGGACAGTTACTCAGACAACTCGCCGGGGAAATCGGTGTAATTATTACACCACTAGTCGTCGGACAGACACGTAATGGCAAACCATTAGTTAATCAGAATTTAGGTTTGTTTACCCAGAGATTGGCGTCAAGTGCTGGTCAAATGTTGACTACGGAGGAGTCACCTAAATGGGTATCCACTGTATTGGTGGATGTATTTGAAACACTAGCCCAGGCTAGCAGTCAGTCTATACAATCTAATTTAGATAGGATTAAAGCCCAGTCCAAACAAACTGGTGGTCAACTATCCAAACAATACCAAACCGTTCAACTGGTTGGCCATAAATTGGACAAACAGTTGAAGAAAATTGTCGATATTTGTAAAAATGTCGAAAATCAGTAATAATAATAATAATAATTAATTTTATGTTTTTTAAAAACTAATAATTATATTCTAGTTAATAGATTTAATAATTTATGATTTACATTATTATTATTATTATTATTATTATTATTATTTTAAATTTGTTATTCTTTTAAAACCAAAATTATTGATAAAAAAATAGTTTAATAAATTTTCTATTATATCTAAAAAATTAATTACTAAAATAAAATAACTTTTTAAAAATACTTTTAATATAATTTTATTTTTATTATATTAAATTGTTGTATAAAATTTTTATTTATTTATTTTTTTTATTTGTAATAATAATAATTAACAATAGTAAATGTTAAGCAAATAATTAATAACTAATTATATAACAAGTTAATTAGAAATTTTATTTTTAAATATATATTTTAACAATAATATTACAGATTTAAAATAAAGTAATTTTTCATTATTAACCTGTTATTAACAAAATAAATAAAGTTTGTTTGTTTGTAAAATATTAATTATATTTTTAATGTTATATAAAAAAATATAAAATTAATTTTATTAAAAAAAAATAATATAAACAACTGTGTAAATATAATTAACTAACTTTTAATATAATATTTAAATTAAATTACAAATACTTGTTTAAAAAACTAAATAATTTATTTATTTATTTAAACTATAGACTTTATATTATCATTTTATATCATTTAATTAATATTATTTTATAATAATAATAATAATATAATATTTATTTAAAAATTATAATAATTATAAAAAAATAAATATTTTCTATTTTTGTTTATATGAATAATTAGCAAATGTTTAAGGAAAGTAATAAATAATATTTATTCAATAATAATAATAATAAACAAAAAGTTTAAACAAAAAAATAATAATATACAAATATAGTAAATATCTCTTTTGAAAAAATAAAATATATTTTTTATCAACAATTATTTATTATTATTATTATTATTATTATTATTATTATTATTATTATTATTATTATTATTATTATTATTATTTTAAAACATTTTTACAGAGACCGACAATTTTGTTTAGCAATGTTTCCAATGTCTTACTAAACACTTGTACGGGTAAGTACTGGACGGGTATAGTTCCCAATACTTTAGTCCTGTCCAGAACCGATTGGATGGCCTGATTGCTGGCCCGGCCTATCAATTGAAACAATTCGACTAATACTGTACCGACATGTCTGGCCGTCTCATGGGCTGTCAATTGTTTGGCAACACTATCCGATAGTTTATAGGTAACCGGTCCGAAATGTTTGTCCAACAATGGCTTACCCTGACGTTTCATACCCGCCAATAACGGTTGAAATGTATGCTGAATTGTTTGGCCAATTTGTTTGAACAATTCGCTAACCAGTTTCATAGCCGTTGAAACTGCCGGTGCTTTTTGGGCAAAATGTGTATGAAATACGTACATATCGTCGCCAATATCTCGGATTATTTCGGCAAAATCATCCCGAATGGCAAACATTAGGTCATCGGCGGGTACTTTACCGAAACGATCGAAAAAATTTGGTAAACATTTTACCGGTCGATTCAAATCCGGGTTTATTTTTCTTAACAATATCATTGAAACCGTTTCGCTTATTCATAGCCACCAAATCAATCTTTATCGGCGATTGTTTTGTGGCTGAGTGTATATAAAATAATTAAGTTATGTATGTATGTGTATGTGTGTGTGTGTCTGGGTGTGAATATGTATGTATGTGTGTGTATGGATATATATGTATGTGTGTGTGGGTTAGACTGACCACCCATACAGGTGCCGCCTGTATTATACAGGAATTTAAGGTCTGATACAGGTGACAGGAAAAGGGCTAACCTGTATAATGTAATATACAGTTTAAAAATATGTGAAACTAATTAATTAATAAAAGTATAAAATAACTATGAAGTAAATTTTTTTTTAATAAAAATTGCTTGTATTTTAATATAAAGTTTAAATATATAAAATAAATTAAAAAAAAAATAAATTTTATAAAAATAAAGTTGTTTATGTTTGTCAATAGAAAATTAAATTTCATCTTTTTATGTAATTATAATATTTAAATTTAATTTTTCTTAATTTATATTATAAATATATAAATATATATATTTAAATACAGATTAACATACAGGAATATAATATTTAATATACAGGAAAATACAGGTGAAATTTATATATTTTATTCTATTATACAGGTTTACTAATAAATTGAGTGGTCAGTCTAGTGTGGGTGTGGATCTATATATGTGTTTATGGATATGTATGTGTGTGTGTGAATATGTATGTATATGTGTGTGTGTGTGGGTGTGGATATATATATATATATATATATATATATATGTATGTATGGATATTTATGTATATGTTTGTGTGTGTGGGGGGGGGGTTCAATATTAATTATAAATTTAATTTTAAAAAAATACATTATTATATTATGTTAAAGTATTATAATTACTGTATAATTATTATTATTAGTAGTAGTAGTAGTAATTGTAGTATTTATATAAATATTTATACAGATTTAATAGTGTAATATACTATAGTTCATTATATTAATATAATAAAACAACTAAAATATTTTTTAAATTTAAAAATAATATAATAAACTTTTATAAAATATTACCTTGATAGCTCATCGAAAATTGCATTGTCAATACAATTATAAGTATAGTTGCTAGTTGATTTTTCCACATTATTATTAAAATAATACTATAATAATAATTTAAAAGCAAAATATTTATTGAAAAAAATGATTTGTTTTATTTTTCAAATATTTTATTATACTATCTTAGAATATAAACTATATATCGTATTAAAAAAAATTTAACATAAAACTCACTTTAATATAATAATTAACTTAAATTACAAAAATTATGTTTTTAAAATTATCTTTATTTAATTATCTATATAATTATTGTTTATTTAGACACTTTAAAATTTATTATAAAATTAATTAATGATTTTTATATTTAAATAAAAAAATAAAATTTATTAGCAATCTTTTCTATTAACCATGTAATGGAAAATTATAATTTTTATTTTATTTTTTGATTTAATGATTTTACTAATTTTTTCATATTTTTTATTATTTTATTAAATTGCACCCATATAATGGAAAATTACCATTTTCATAATTTTATATAAAAAAACAAATTAATTTATTGTTTTATTAAATTACATCACAAATTACATGACTATACAGTCTATATAAATCCCATGAAATTATATTTTTTTAAAAATATTGAATTTAAAGTTTCTTAATTAGATTAAACATTAGTATTTAATTATATTTTTATTAATATACATATATATATATATATATATATAATATTTTAGTTTATATTGTTTTTAAAAAATTTTTATTAATAAACTAATTAAATAATGTTTAAAATTCAACTAGCAACAATTGTTGTATTATTTATGATGAAGATTCCAGTGAGCCATCAAGGTAAATATTAGTTATTATATTAATTTTATAATAATTTTTTTATTTAACAAAAAAATCATAAAATAAACTTATTATCAATAATATATATATTTTTTTAATTTACATTTTCTAAACACATACAAACACACACACACACACACACACACACACACACACACATACATACACACACATTCACTTACACACACATATACTTACACATACATAAACTTACACACACATACAATTACACACACATTCACTTACACACACATACACTTACACATACATAAACTTACACATACATAAACTTACACACACATACACTTACACACACATACACTTACACACACACAAACACTTACACACACACACACACACAATTACACACACATTCACTTACACATACATAAACTTACACACACATACACTTACACACACATACACTTACACACACACAAACACTTACACACACACACACAATTACACACACATTCACTTACACATACATAAACTTACACACACATACACTTACACACATATACAATTACATACACATACACTTACACACATATACAATTACACACACATTCACTTACACACATATACAATTACACACACATTCACTTACACACACATTGATATACCTACAGTAGACCCGATACAACCGGTCAAGTTTGATATTGTGGCGGTTACTGAACGACACGGTTTCGGTACTATTGCCAGAAAACTGAAAGTCCCGCTCGATTTAATGGCCAACGAGTTGAACAAATTTTTCGCCAGTTTCGCCAACGCACCCGTAGATAATAATAATAATGACGATTATGACCTATTGTTTATCATACGCGACGATTTGGGTCGGGTATTGAGAAATTTTGCCAACGATATGGACCGGTTTCGGCATGAATTTGCTGAGAAAAAATCCAATCCGGCGGCCAATGCCGTCAAACGGGTATCACAGCTGCTGACAGATATCTCACGGGAAATAACCGAAACTATTCAGCCACTAGTCAGTGGTCAGACACGTAAAATCGGGCCATTAATTGATAGAAATTTAGGTGTGTTTACCCAGAAATTGGCTACAACTGTTGGACAAATGTTGACTACCGCGGAGATACCTAAATGGGTATCCACTGTATTGGTCGATGTATTTGAAACACTAGCCCTGGCCACGAGTCAGTCTATCAAATCTAATTTAGATAGGATTAAAGCCCAGTCTACCGAAACTGACGGTCAACTGGTATCCAAACAATACCAAACCGTTCAACTGGTTGGCCATAAATTGGACGAACAGTTCAAGAAAATTGTCGATATTTGCAAAAATGTCGAAAAACAAGAATAATAATAATAATAACAATTAATTAATTAATATATTAAGTCATTAATTAATTTTAGTTTTATTTTTTTCAAAAATTAATTATTACAGTATTCTAGTTATTATTATTATTATTATTTGCATTTTATATATTTGTTATAATTATAATTATTATTTTAAATTTATTATTTCTTTATATAATAGTTTTATTATTTTGTATAATGATATTGATAATTATTATATAATTACACAAAACTAAATTATTTGGTAATTTTTTGTTGTTGATTATTTAATAAAAGATTTAAGCAAAAAATTGTTTTATTTTATATATTTATTATATATTTGTTTTAATAATAGATTATGATTAGTATTAGTGAATATATATAACACATATAAACATATAACTTAAGTACAGTATATCAGTAATAATAATAATAATAATAATAGTAATAATTTAATTATTATACTAGCTAATTTTTTTTAATTTAAAACTTAATTAATTATTTTATCTTAAGTATAAATATTGTTTATAATATATTTTATAAATATAGTTTAATGAAATTAAAATATATTTGTTAAAAATTAGAAAACAATTATTATATTTAAAGTATGATAAAAAAATAATTGTTTTATTGTCTAAATTTTCTAATAAAAGTAATAATTTTATCAACTATAGTGTTTAATATTATATATAAAAAAATAATTTTAAAAATTTAGATAAAAACAAGTGTTTTGCTTTTTTTTTGTAAAATAAAAACAATAATAATAGCAAATGAAACAAAAATTATAAATTTCAAATAGTTTACTGTATTATTGTATTATAGTTTAAAATACTATTATTAGACTAAAATAAACAAAAAATATGTTTATTTTTAATAATAAAAATTATTATTATATTATTTGTTTTATAAATTTTTTTTTGATACTTAATAAAAAAAATATTACTTAAATAAAAAATATTATTTCATTTAACCTTTTGTTTAACCTTGATATAAATAGCATTTTTAATTTAATAAATTGATATATTAATTTTATATTATTAATATTTCTAGTTTCATAATTTATAAATAAATATTTTTAAACAAAAAACAAAAATCAACTAGCTACAATGATGTTTATACTAGTATTTATTATGCCATTATTAGTATTGGCTGATCAAGGTAAAGTACTATTACTACTAATTGTTATTTAATTATTTAATAATTATTTTCTAATATAATTAATACAAAATTATTATTATTAATAATTATAAAAAAATTATTAATATATAATCAATAAAAACTACAAAAAAAATATTATTAATAATTATTAAGAAAAAATATTATTAATTTTTTAGAAAATTTATTAATAATTGATTTATTTTTGTTTTATTTTTTGTTTGATTTATGTTTTTTTAATTTACTATTAATTATTATTATTATTATTAATATTTTTGGTTACCTATAGGAGATGGCAGATTTGGTCGCAATGTTGGGGGTAATGGTGGTTGGGGTGGTGGCGGTGGATGGGGTGTAGACTACGGTTGGTCCGATCCATTCAAACCGGCCAAACCGTTCAACATTAGCGAACTACTGGTTCAAAACGGTTTTACCGATATTGCCGAAAAACTTAAGCCACAATTGCAACAATTGTCCGATTTATTGAACCAATTTTTCAGCCAACTGTCCACGGATACACCCGATGATGATCTACTGTATGCTATCAGAGACGATATCGGCGGCCAAAATGGTCTGCTGGCCGATCAGATCAGTAAAATGGACGCCTATCGGAAACTATTGGCTGCCAAAGATCCCGTAGTTGCCGGACAAGTGGCCAATGCTGGCCAACTGTTTCGTCAATTGACCGCAGCTATCCGATCGCAATTTGTACCGCTGACCAGTGCACCCGTACGGGCTATTGCTGGCCGTCCAAACAGTCCGTTATATACGAAAAAATTATCGGAAACTATTGTAGGCCTAACCAACACAATAGGTAAACAATTAAAACCGGATGACCTGGCTAAAATTATACCAGTTTATGGTAAATATTATGAACAAATACGACTGAGCTTTGACTGGGCTATACGTACCCAATTGAAACGTATAGCTAAACAAAATCAAGGTATACTACCCGCCCAGTGGGCACCGGTACGTGCATTTGGCCAAACCATTTGGGATACTATTATGAAACGTATTGTCCAGAGTTTATAATAAATTAATAATTAAATTAAATTAATAAAAAATTAATAACTTTTGTTTACAATATTTTGTTTTAATAATTTAATTTATATAATATTATAAATTATAAAAACTGTGGTATACTTATACTGAATTATAGTTAATAGAAAAATTAGACGAAATTTAATAACTATTTATATCAAAGTTTAAACAAATGTTTTTTTAAAATATTTTATAACTATTTAATTTTTTTTTTTGTATTGAATATCGCTTAAAATTTTTTTAACAACAACAACAACAAAAACAAAAACAAATTAATAACTTTATAAAATAAATATAATAATAAAATGTTTGAAATTTATAATTTATAATAATCTAGTTGATATTATTGTTTTTATTTAAAAAAAACTAAAATACTTGTTTTATATAATTTAAAAAAAATAGATTTTTCATATAATATTTAGATAACAAAAATAATTGATAAAACATTTAATTTAATTTTATTAAATACCATTAATAGCAGTTTAAATTTTATTATTTTTTATTAAATAAATTTTTAATAAAATTAAATTTAAAAATTTTATTAACTATTGTGTTTAATATTATATGAAAAATTATATATAAAATAGGTGTTTTATTTTTTTAAGTTAAAAACAATAATAGCAAATAAAACAAACAAAAAATTATTATTGTATTATAGTATAAAAATAAATAAAATAAAATTAATTGTTTTAATATTAACAAACAAACAAAAAAATATTTTTTTAACTCTTTTGTTTAATCTTGATATATAAATAGCATTTAATTTTTATTAAAATTTTTTAAAATTATTTTATATCAATTTAGTTTAATATTAAAAAGTTATTAATTAATATATTTATATTAATAATTTTTATCAATGATGTTTATATTTATATTTATTATGCCATTATTAGCATTGGCTGATCAAGGTACAGTAATATCTATTAAATTATTTAAATTAGTTTATAATAACAACAATTTTCACAACAATTGATAAATTAATTACTAGATAAAAAATATTATTATTATTAAAAAAAAATTAAATACAATCAATAAAAACAAAAACAAAATATTATTATTTTTTTAATTGCTTACATAAAATATTATATAAAAAAGTAATTAAATTTATTTTGTTGTTGTTGTTTTTATTAACTATTAACTATTAATATTAATTATGTATACTATTTATTATTATTATTAATTATTTAGTAAAAAAATATTAATAACTGATTTAATTTTGTTTTATTTTTTGTATAATTTTGAGTTTTATTTTGTGTTTAATATTTTGTTTAGCTTTTTGTGTAATTTTTTGTTTAATTTTTTGTTTAATTTATTGTTTAATATTTTATTTAATATTTTGTTTGTTTTATTTACTATTAATTATTATTATTTAATTTTTTGATACCTATAGGAGATGGCAGATTTGGTCGCAATGTTGGGGGTAATGGTTGGGGAGGTGGCGGTGATGGATGGGGTGTAGACTACGGTTGGTCCGATCCATTCAAACCGGTCCAACCGTTTGTTGTTAGCCAACTACTGGTACAAATCGGTTTCACAGAACTGGCCGAAAAACTTAAGCCACAACTACAGCAACTATCGGATCTGTTGAACCAATTTTTCAGCCAACTGTCCACCGATACACCCGCCGATGATCTATTGTATGCTATCAGAGACGATATCGGCAGCGGTATGATTGCCGATATGATCCAAACAATGGACACCTATCAGAAACTACTGCAACCCACTAACCCGGCAGTCGCCCGTCAAGTGGCCACTGCTGGCCAACTGTTTAGGCAATTGTCGGCAGCTATCCGATCGACATTTGTACCGCTAACCAGTGCACCCGTACTACGGGCTGGTGCTGGCCATCGTCCAAACAGTCCATTATATACCCGAAAATTATCGGAAACTGTTCAATTGGTGACCAATATGTTTGTTAGACAATTGAAACCCGATGACCTGGCTAAACTAATACCCGGTTATAGTAAATATTTTCAACAAATACGACTGAGCTTTGACTGGGCTATACGCGTACAATTGAAACGTATAGCCAAACAACAAAATCAAGGTATACTACCCGCCCAGTGGGCACCGGTACGTGCGTTTGGCCAAACAATTTGGGATACAATTATGAAACGTATTGTCCAGAGTTTGCAATAAATATTTTGTTTTTTTTCTAGAAATACTAAACTATTAATAATTAATAATTTTTTTATTATTAAAACTAATAATAATACATTGATAACCAATAAATTCAATGACGGCATAATTGGCTATAATAGTTATGATTAAAACTTATAATTTGTATAAATTATTGATAAATAACAAAAAAAAAACAAATTAATTAATTAATTAAATAATTTTTATTAACATAAAAGTTATTTATTTGTTTGACAATAGTATATAAAAATTTGAGAAATTAATTTTATTTTTATTTATAAATTATGTATTGTATTATTAATACTAGTAATACATTTTAAACAACTATAAAATCTCTCTCTCTCTCTCTCTCTCTCTATCTATCTATCTATCTATCTATCTATCTATCTATCTATCTATCTATCTATCTATCTATCTATCTATCTATCTATCCATATATATATATATATATCATTATGTATCTCTCTCTCTCTCTCTCTCTCTCTCTCTCACTCACTCACTCACTCACTCACTCACTCACTCACTCACTCACTCACCCACTCACTCACTCACTCACTCACTCGCTATCTACTGAAAACTTTGGACAATACGCTGGATAATCGGATCCCAAACTGTTTGGCCAAACGGCGGAATTGGCAGCAAATTTTCGGGAAGTTGACCACTATTTTGTGCGGCAATACGTTTCAATTGTCTCCGTATGGACTGGTCATAGCTTAGTCGTATTTGATCGAAAAATTGGCTAAAAACTGGTAGAAATATCGGCGCCGCCGACGGTTGCAATAGTTTGCCAATCATATCGGACAGTCCGACCAAATATTGGGATAGTTTCTGGTTATACAGTGGACTGCCTGGACGTCCGCCGCCGCCGCCGCCACCGACGGCCCGTTTGCGACTACTGGTTAGCGGCGGTCCAAATGTCGATCTAATGTTGGCGGCCAACTGTCGAAACAGTCGGCCAGCTGTGGCTACTTTCTGGACGACTGTCTGGGGTCCCGACAGTGTTGACCGATAGGCATCCATAGCACGGGCCAAGTCGGAGACCATTGAGCCGACATCGTCTCGGATAGCGTACGGTAAGTCCAGTGGCGATGTAGTGGACAGCCGGTGGAAAAATTGGTTCAACAAATCCGATAGTTCTTGCATTTGTGGCCGAAATTGATCGGAAATCTGACTGAAACCGTTACGGGCGAGTAGTTCGTAGATATTAAATGGTGGCACCGGTTTTGATGGTTTACCATCCCATCCATGGCCACCGCCATTACCACCCCATCCATTGTCACCCCCGTTACCATTCCATCCATTATGACCCCCATTACTACCCCATCCATGGCCACCGTCATTATCACCCCATTCATTATCACCCCCATGATCACCCCCATGACCACCCCCGTTATTACCCCATCCATGGCCATTGCCAGCAAATTTACTGTTATCTATAGCTAATTAATAAATTTTAATTTATATATATATAATAATAATAAATATATTTAGTTAGCTAGCTAGCTAGTTAATTAGTTAATAATAATATACTTTTATAAAAAAAATTGTAATAATAATAATCATCATAATTAATGTTTATATAATTTTACCTTGATCATCAGCCAATACAAATGGCATAATAATAATAATAGCAATAGCAAATATAAACATGGTAGTTAGTTGATTTTTTTCCATGCTAATAATAATAATACTAATTATAAAAAATAATAGATAAAAAATATATTAGTTTTAATTGCCATAAAAAACAATTTAATTAAATGATATTTATATACTTAAAAAATATGTTAATTAATTATTATTGTTATTGTTTTTATAATTTATTATTATTATTTTTTTTAATAAAGTATCATATGGTAAAAATAACAAAAAAAAAACAATTGACTATTATATTATAAATAATACAATATATTAAATATAATAATAATAATAGTAAATATTTAATTTTAAAAAACAAGTGTTTTATTTATTTATTTACAACAAAAAAAACAATAAGACATAATAATTGTCAGTTTATTTTAACAGTTTTAAAATAAAATTTTCCTATTTATAGTAATATGTTTTTCTAATAGTTTAAAAACAAATAATTTTTTATTATTAGTATATAAATAATATGAAACATTTTTTTTTGATAATACAAAATGAAATAAATAGTAATAACAAAATATATTATTTAATTAAAACAAATAAAATTCATATAAAAATTTTACAGTATTTACTTATTTATTTAAAAAAAATAGTTTACAAATAGTTAGATAATTAATTAATAATTTTCTAATTAAATATTATATTTTATAAAATACTTATATTATTATTAAATTTTTAATGATTAATATTAAATATTTAAGTTATATTAATATTTTTGTTGTTATTATAATTTTACTAAATACAGTATAATACTAATCACAAAAAAATCATTAAACTATTATATGATAGTATAATATAGTTTTAAATTTTATAAAAAAATATATTTAAATTAATTATAATTATTATTATTATACTATAAATATTTAATTAATAAAGAGTTCTCTTTAAATTATTCTGTTATTAAATTAATAATATTTTATATCTATATTATTTATATTATCAATCAATTATTTGTTTACAGTTTTTAAATATATATATATATATATATATATAATATAATTGAATATATTTTATATTAATATATAATTAATTTTAAAATATATTTATACTAAATAAATATCATTCAAGTATAGTTTATCTAAATTATAATTGTATAAAATAATTATTAATAAACATTTTTAAAAAAAATAAATAAATTTTTAATGAAAATTATTTTTGTTATTTTGAACAATAAAAATATGTGTACTATTTATATTTATATATAATAATAATAATATTATTATTATTATTAAATATGTTATATATTTATTATCTAATATCTGTAAAAAAAATTATATCAATGTTTTACCATTCAATTTTTGTTTTATTGTTTTTTTTTTGTTTTAAAAAAATTATATAAAATAATAATAATAATAATAATAGGATAAGCAATCAATTGGATCGGGTGTTTGAACTACCAGTGCTTAGTACCAGTAGTTTATGGAAAAAAAACTTTTATTAAGAAAAATAAAAAATTTAAATAAATAAAAAGTAATTAATAATTTATATAATTTTGTTTTTTTTTATTATTAAGCAAAAAATAGTTAAAACATAATTTATTAATATTAGTAAATAATTAATTTTAAATAAATAATTTTAACATAAATATTATAATCAAATTAATTACATTACATTTTATAATAATCATAGAAATTTTTTTAAAAAGATTATTAATAATCAATTATAATTTTATGAACATTTAATGTACAGTTTTTAATATAATTTTTAACGTAATTATGAAAATAATAGTATAAAATTTATAATGTTTAAATTATTTTTATTTTTAGATTATAATTTAATAAATTTATATTTAGTTTTTTTTAATGAATATTTAATTACAATTATTAACACTAACTATAATACAGCATAAAATTTTTTGTATAACAATTTGGTTATAGTACTTGTTTTTATTTGATTATTAAAATAATTTAAACATTAAAAATTTAATAACCGTAAATTATTGTGAAATGATAAATTTTTATTTATATTTTAATAATTAAAAAAAATATTATAATATTTTTATCAAATTAATAAAAACCAAACCATATGCCTAATTAAAGTTATATAAGTATTATTTAATATAGGATTATATTAATTAGATTTATTAAATAATTACAGTTTGTCTACAAAAAAATTGATAATAAATATAATAAAATATATATAGTTTTGTAATATTTTAAATAATATTATTTTTTTTGTGTACTCTCTGTCTCCCCAACAATAACTATCCCAACAATAACTATCCCAACAATAACTACCCCAACAATAACTATCCCAACAATAACTATCCCAACAATAACTATCCCAATAATAACTACCCCAACAATAACTATCCCAACAATAACTACCCCAACAATAACTACCCCAAAAATAACTATCCCAACAATAACTACCCCAACAATAACTACCCCAAAAATAACTATCCCAACAATAACTATCCCAATAATAACTACCCCAACAATAACTATCCCAACAATAACTACCCCAACAATAACTACCCCAAAAATAACTTATATTTTTAAAAAATTTTATTAAATTAAGAATAAATTTTTTAGATAGGATTAGTATAATCTATAATTTTTAAAAAATAATACCAACCGTGACAGGATCCTAAAAAGTTTTTAAAACAGTTAATTATTAATACAATTATATTTTTACTAATTTATTTGATTACAGTTTAAAATTATAACTACAAATACTAAATATTATTAAATAAATACTGTATTTAAACTTAATATTAAATTAATTAATTAATTAATTAGTAATACTTACTGTATATCTCTCGAAAAAAAATATTTTAATATATTATTTTTGTTTATTTATAAATTTACAAATAAAAACTTATCGTAAATAAATTTTTTATATATAATAATAATAAAATCATTAAACAAAAAGTTCATTAACATTATTATATAATTATAATAAAATAATAGTTGATGTTTTATATATTAAAATTTTTTATTTTAGCTAAAATTTATAAATAACCCATATATACATATATATAAACATTTTAGTTTATAATTAATTATTTATGATATATGTCTGTATAGACAGTATACATAAATTAATAATTATTTTATAGACAAAACATTTTATCAAATTTTTATCAAATTTATTATTAAATACAAAAATTATTATTATTATTATCGTTAAGTTAATAAAACATATAATAATAATATTATTATTGTTAATAATGTTATTAATTACTAATTATTATATTATAAATCATATGACTGTAATAGTATTATTGATAACAAAAATTCAATTAATATTTATTATTATTAGTAGTATATTATTAGTGAATAATAATACCTGTTTTAGTAGTGTTGTTATCCCGAAATTGTTTGACGATAATCCCGATATATTTAGACAAACGGTAATTAAATATATATATATATATTATTTAATTAAATAATTAATATATTATTTAATTAATTAATTAAATTAATTTTAAATTATTAATTTTTTTTTCTTAAAAAGCCACAACTTATCGAATCACGTGGTTTTCAATCGGAAACCCATACCGTAACCACTGGTGACGGCTATATACTACGGGTGTTTCGTATAGTCAATCATAGTCTACGTAGGAGTGGCCGCCAACCGAAACCCGTACCTATCATACTATGGCACGGTGTGGCCGTAACATCTGATTCGTGGCTATTTTCGACAAACGGCCGACTGGACAGCGAAACGGGATTGTATCGGGAATACCAATATCGGGACAACCCTATAGTCAATGATTGCGAAACAAATGTTACGTCAACCCTGGCTTATACATTGTCGGCCTGTGGTTATGATGTATGGCTACCCAATACAAGGGGTACACACTATTCACTTGGTCATCAATCGATGGATTCAACTACCGGTGCTCTCTATAAAAAAATATTAATATTAATAATAATTATTATTAATTATTATTTTAATTTAAATAAATTAGATCCACACTATTGGCAATATACACTAACTGAACTAGGTCTATATGACATACCGGCAGTGGTCAGGTATGTCATGCAAGCTACTGGTGCTGGTAAACATATATAGCAATTATATATAAAGTTTTTTTTAAATTAATTAATTAATTTTTTTTGTTATCTAAAAAAGATTATATCACATACATTGGTCATTCACTGGGAACGGCATCCATGTTTGTATTGCTATCATTGGTACCTGATTTTCAACAATTTATTAGGCCATTCATAGCCTTGGCACCCATAGCCTACTTGGGTCACATCGAAAGTATTGGTCGACTGGGCGTTCCCTTAGAGCCATTGCTAAAGTATAGTATAATTTTTATATATATTTTTTTTAAAAATTAAAACTGTTTAAACTTATTTTATATATATATTTACTGTATGTGTGTGTGTGTGCTATCAATTGACATTTACACCCAACACACACACACACACTCAACACACACTCAACACACACACACACCCAACACATACACACAACACACTCACACAATACATACACCCAACACATACACCCAACACATACACCCAACACATACACCCAACACATACACTCAACACACACACACCCAACACACACACCCAACACATACACCCAACGCACTCACCCAACACATACACCCAATACATACACCCAATACATACACCCAACACACACACCCATATATAGACTATTTCCAGCACCACTGGGCATACCTGTGCCCATAGCCCAACTGATTGGTGTATTTGTTTGCGGCAATCAATTTCTAGTCGACTTATGCGCCGACATTTTCTATGCCGTCAATGGCTATGATGCGCAAAATTTTAACAGGGTAAATTATTTTTTTTAGTAAATTAATTATTTTATTTATTTTTTAAATAATAAACTATTTTCATAGTCTATAGTACCGGTAGATGCAGCCCATTCAGCTGCAACTGTAAGCACCTGGGTTTACGCTCACCTGGCACAGTTAGTTGTCAGCAAACGTTTCCGTATGTTTGACTATGGACTGACAGAAAACGGTAGGCGCTATGGTAGCAGTGGTGGTGGTGGAGGCCAGTCATTACCGCCCAGTTATCCATTAGGTAATATAACATCGAGAAATATTGCACTGTTTCGTGGACTAAATGACTTACTGGCCGACAATCAGGACGTCCAGCTACTTGTCCAACAATTGAATGGTATTAATATAATTAAATTATTTATTTAGCATGCTAATTTTTTTATTTATAAATTTATTTATTTATTGGGTGTGGGTGTGTGTGGGGTATGGGTCCCCAATATATTGCAATACAATTATCTATATGGGGTAGTACCATTATTGGACAATTATCTGGTACCTGACCCTAAATGGAATCACCAAGATTTTCAAGTAGGAACCAACCAAGGTTATTTTGTTAACAATAGAATTTTAACAATATTAAGACAATATGATTAAAAAAAAATTTTTAAATTAAAAATATTTTAAATTAAAATAATAACAACACATAATTGTAATAATTATTTTTCATATTTTTTTATACAAAAAAAAATTATAATTTATTTAAACAGTTTTTTTATAATATTTATTTATTTATTTAAAATAAATATATATATAAATATAAATTGTATATTTTGATTACTCTTTATTTATATGTAAATTAATTATAATATCAATAATAATTATAATGTAATAGTTTTGTTATTACAGTTTTTTATTTAAATAAAATTAAAAATTTAATTATTTTAATCTATTATTGTATTACAAATAATTTTTTTAAAACACTTAATTATTCAATATTTAGTATATATTTGTTATATAATAATTAATTATTAAATAATGTATTTTTTAAAAATAATTTTATATGTAAATTTATTATAAATAATTTTACTATTAAAATTTATTATTGTTTTTTATTTTAATGTATGATTAATAGAAATTATTTTTATTAATTATTTTTATTACTATTTAAAAAATTTATAGTAACTATTTCTGTTGAAATTTCTAATTTAAATTATAAATTATTTTTTTTATAAATAAATAATATTATGTCTTATTTTTGATATTACAGTCGTTTAATACATTTATATATAATTATTTAAATCCTATTATTTTATTTTAAATCTATTATTTAAATAAATAGATAATATTTTTTTGTAGATATTTAAAATTCTAAATTATTTTACATTATTAATCTATTAGAAATATTTTAATAATAATTTTTTTTACTAAATAATAATTAGAAAATTAATAGAAATTTAAAATTTTATTTATTTAAATAAATTAAATAATTTAATAATCAATTTTTAGATATAACTTGAATTACAATACAATCATTGTATGCCCAATGCTTTTTTCTGACATGCCTTGATAATTTTTTTAAAAAATATAATAATAATATCATGTTAAAAATTAGCTAAATAGTAATACACACACACACACACACACATACATATAAACATTCACACACATAAACAAACCTGCATATACATATATATATACAGACACATAACATACACACACATACAAATATACATACAGTACACATATAAAATTATATAAATAAACAAACACTCACTCACACACACACACACATATATATATACAAATACATACATACATATACATATACATATACACATTCACATAAACATAAATATATAAATACATACACACTCACACAAACATATACATTCACAAACATACACACACAAATACATACACACTGTACACACTCACACACACACACACACACACACATGCATACATATACACACACATACATACACACACATACACACACATACACACACATACACACACATACACACACATACACACACATACACACACATACACACACATACACACACATACACACACATACACACACATACACACACATACACACACATACACACACATACACACACATACACACACATACACACACATACACACACATACACACACATACACACACATACACACACATACACACACATACACACACATACACACACATACACACACATACACACACATACACACACATACACACACATACACACACATACACACACATACACACACATACACACACATACACACACATACATACATATACACATACACAAAATAAGCTTACTAGAAATTCATGCTCAGGTAGAAATTTGGCCACTTGTGTCCTACCCAGTGCTGACTCCCTGTCCAACTCTGCTTTCAATTGTTTATTTTCGTCATCGTATTGCCGTTTTTTCTGGTCAACACACCCATCAAATTCAATTGAACATTGATTTAATATAGTATTTCTGATGATTTTGTCGGTCGCATTCAAATGGGTAAAGACTTTCAATAAACCATCCCTACCTATAGCACAGTCATCATTGATTTGATAATACTATTCAAACAACAAAAAAAATAAATAAAAAATAAAATAAATATACTGTATGTTAAACAAATCAATTATACATTATATATCAGTATATACAGGTATATAATGTTAAACTTATTATATTCACTGTTTATATATATAATAAAGTATATATAGTATAACAAAATATTAAAAATACTGTATAATAATTAGTTATAATAAACTAATTATAATTATATAAATAATTAATAATATATAAGATATATTTTTCTACACTAATATATGTACAATAGTTTGTAGTTTTAATAATTATTTTTATTTTTTTGATGTAAAGTTTTTTAGGATTTTTATAGTTAAGATGTTATTATTATTATTATTAATTAGTGGGAGAGGGGGAGTAAATTAAATTATATATAGTTTTTCATTAACAAAAATAAAAAAATTACAAAATAAAAAAACATTAAATAAAAATTTTTTTAAAAAATTACTTTTTGTTCAAATTGTCTATAAATTGATGATTTTTGTCTATCATCAGTACGTGAACGTTGTTTACATTGATTAAACCCATTGACCATTGAATTGTTGAGACTATTGGGTAATATTTGGCAAATTGATTGACTGATTTGTTTTCTGGTTACGGGATCCTCATGTGGTTTATAAATTTTAGTTAAAGTACCATGGACATTTAGTAGATTAATATTAAATAATATAGCAATAACAACAACAACAACAACAAATAGTTTGCTAGCTAACATTTTTTTAAAAATTTATTTTTTAAATAATAAAATTATTAATAATAATTTTTTTTAAATGGAGTTGTTTTTTCAACTAATTGTATAATTTTTAAGTAATTTTATAATTAAATCAAATTATATCAAATAAATGAATATTATTAGGATTTTTAGTATTATATAAAAATAATTAATTAATTGTAATTAAATAAAATGGGCAATAAAATTAAAAAATTATATTAAATAAAAATTAAATTAAATTTACATTAAAACTATGATTAATAATTAATATACAATATATATTAAACATATTTTAAATATTTTTCTAATGATAAAAAATTAGAAAATTAATTAAATTTTTACTTCCATATAAAAATAAAACATTTAATAAAATTTTTATTTTAAATAAAATTAATTATCACTATTACAATTGTTTATTTCAAAAAAAAATAAATAATTTAACTAGCTAAATTATTATTTCAAAAAAATAAATAATAATGTTATCTATTAATAGTAATATTTATTATGTATTTGTTGTATTAGATAGTTATATAGTAATTATGTTATTTGTCCATGGTAATCTACAACAACAACAACAATATCAAGTAGTAAACCCACACCCACCCATATATTCACACCCACCTAATAATCATCAACAACAACAACGTAAGGCAATACAAAATGAATTCAGTCAACGATTATGTTTACCCAATAAAATCAATACAACAATTGTCAAACAATTTATTAGTTGTACACCAATTAAAGATACAGATCAATTACAAAATAAAACACAGGTAGTAATTAATTAATTAATTTTTTGAATTTTTTTATCATGTTAAAATATTTAAATTAAATTTGCAAAAAAATATTTTTTAAAAATAATTATTTATTTTTTTTGTAACTGTTTTTTCAAGCAATTTTATCATTATTTTAAATATGTATTTATTTTTGTTTTGTTGATAGTTTTAATTATTTGTTAATATAATTTAATTAATTAATTTTAATTAAATCATATATATAATACTTGAAAAAAATTTTTTTTTATATAATTAATTATTATCATAAAGTTTATTATTATTATTATTGTTTTTGTATGAAATTTATGCAAAAAAATATATCTTAAAATTATTAATAATAATTATTAATTTAGTATATTCAATGTTTTTTTAAAAAAAAAAGTTTATGATTTTTTTTTGTTGATACACAAGTCATACTAATTTTTAAAAAATTATTATTTTTTTAAACAATCAAGATATGGGAAATTAAAGACAACTGTGCTCAGGGTAGGGATCGTATATACTGGGCTCGTATACCCTATTAGACAAACCAATCGATAGAGAGAGGTTAGGGCTGTCTTATTGAAATATTGTGCACCTGGCTATTATAAATGTGTTGGCAAAAAAATGCACAATTGGACAGGGAGTCTACTAGATTACAGGGTAGCACCCAAACACCTAAACACCCGGTTACATCACCGAAAGCTATTGTAAAGTTTAACTCATAATAATAACAAAATTACTAATTAATTACTAATCAAAAAAAAAAATTAATTATTTTTCAAATTATTTATATTTTTTAGGCATGTTTTAGAAGAGCACTTAGTTTATAAAAAATTTGATTTATTTATTTTGTTGGATAACTAATCTTGGTCAACTAATTTGATTTTTATAATTTTCATACAGTATTTTTAAATATTTTTTGTAGAATTATATAAAAAAGTTATAAACTAAAAAATTAAAATTAAATAAATAAATGATAAAATTAAAATTATCTAAATGATTTTTTTTTTTTTGAAAAATAACAATAATATTAATAAAAATAATAAATGTTAAATTGTTAAAAATCATAATAAATTTTTGTATTTTCAATAAAATTTATTAAGATTCAAACAATTTATCATAAATTTTAAATTAAAAATATACTAATAATAATTATAAGTTAATATTCAAATTATTTTCAATTTAATTTACATTATATACATAAATGGATACATTTAAAAAAAAAAATTTGTTATATAAAAACTAAATATAATTATTTTGTTGTAACATTATTTAGATAAAAATCACAAAAACAATTTTATTTAAAATATTTATTATATATATAACTATTATATAGACAAACTGTAATTATAAAAATATTCATTAATATAATCCTATATTAAATAATAATTATATTAACTAAAATTAGGCATGTGGTTTGGATTTTAATTAATTTACAAATATCATAATTATTTTTATATTATTAATATCTAAATTTAAAAATTAAAACTGATTTTAAGTTATTATTTAGAAAAAATATTATATCTTAAATAAAAGTGTATATTTTAATAATAAACCAGTTGAGAATGCTAGAAAGCATTACCAAAAACAAATTTTTATTGCGTAAATTACTTGTTTTTGTCATATTATTAACAAAATATTTATTCCTAATAACCATTAGTCCATGTGGATCATTATATCATATCTTTAATGACAAAGTATTTATGTTGAAACAATATATTTAATGATATAAAATTTATTATGATGCAATATTTATGTTAATGTAATATTTCTGGTGATGCAATATTTATGTTGAAACAATATCTAAGGTTATACAAAATTTATGGTGTCGCAATATTAATAGTGATGCAATATTTATGATGAATGCATAATCATAGTTATTGTATCATCATAAATATAGCATAACCATAAATATTGCATCATCAGAAATATTGCTTCATCATAAATATTGCATCACCATAAATTTTCTATAACCAAATATTCTGATTCAACATAAATATTGAATCATTATAAATACTGCATAACCTGAAATATTGCATCATCATAAATATTGCTTCATCATAAATATGCAACATAAATATTGCAACATCATAAATATTGCATCATCATAAATATTGCTTCATCATAACTATTGCATCACCATAAATTTTCTATAACCAAATATTCTGATTCAACATAAATATTGAATCATTATAAATACTGCATAACCTGAAATATTGCATCATCATAAATATTGCTTCATCATAAATATGCAACATAAATATTGCAACATCATAACTATTGCATCACCATAAATATTGCGACACCATAAATTTTGTATAACCTTAGATATTGTTTCAACATAAATATTGCATCACCAGAAATATTACATTTCCATAAATATTTATGATGATGAAATTAAATTTTTATGATTTATAGGCCATTTTATAATATATTAATTTATTGTTATAACTTAATATTGTAATTAACTGTATTTATTTGTTAAACTTAAATTTTAACAAAAAACTCATTTTGAAAATTTATCCGCCATTTTCTGTTTCGGAAGAGATATTAAAATTTTAATTCTGATTCGTTTAACTTTCTTATAATGTTTTATTCAAATCTTAATTTTAAAATTTTTAACTAAATTTTTTTGTACTTTGGCCGCCATTTTCTCTATGTTCCCGAAGAGATATCAAAATTTTAATGCTGATCCCCTATACCTTATTTTCGATGATCTAACCGAATCTGAAATCAAAATTTCAAAATTCACAAAACACACACACATATAGAATTCATTAAACAAATTTTGAAAAAAATTTGTTTGAAAATCAATTCTCTTATCATCAATAATATAATATTAATTAAATTTTATTTATAATTTAATATTATATTTTATTTAATACTAAAAATAATAATTATTACTATTATGAATTAAAACTATTAATTATTTTAATAACAATTAAATATATTTGTATAACATTTAGATTAAATCTATGTTTTAATTAAAATAAAATTATTGTATTCCCAGTGCTTTTTTACGGCATTCCTAGATATTTAAAAAATAAAATAATAATAATAATTAGATATTTTTTACATACACATACACATACACATACACATACACATACACATACACATACACATACACATACACATACACATACACATACACATACACATACACATACACATACACATACACATACACATACACATACACATACACATACACATACACATACACATACACATACACATACACATACACATACACATACACATACACATACACATACACATACACATACACATACACATACACATACACATACACATACACATACACATACACATACACATACACATACACATACACATACACATACACATACACATACACATACACATACACATACACATACACACATAAACTAGCTTATAAACTAGATTATAAACTAGATTATAAACTAGATTATAAACTAGATTATAAACTAGATTATAAACTAGATTATAAACTTACTAGAAATTCATGCTCGGGTAGAAATTTAGCTAACTGTCCCATCATCCCATTACCTCCCTGAGCCCATTCCCTATCCAATACTAATTTTAATTGTTTGTTTGCCTCTTTGTACTGATTTTTTCTTTCAATAACACAATTATAAAATCCTTCAATACATTGAAATAGTACAGTATTTCTGACCACTTTTGTATTATCATCGGTTAGATTCAATTGACTAAACCTATGGCTCAGTTCAGTGGTCCAGTTCCCATCTATGGCGGCACAGTCATCATAAATTTGATTATACTGTTTTCAATCGGTGATAAAAATCATATATAAATAAATTAAATTAAAAATATACGATAATTACATTTTTTTTAACAAAACATAAAATTAAATAAAACTATCATTAAATATATAATAAATTATTAAATATATAGTAAATTATAAAATATATAATTAATAATTCTATATATTATTAGATTAATTTATAATTTTTTTTTAAAATAATTAATTATAATATAATATAATTTTAATTTATAGTTTTTAATTATTATTTAGTTTATTATTATTATTATTTTTGTTGTTTCAGGTTTTAATAGTAATTAGTATTATTATTATTATTAGAAAAAGGTTTTTTAAAATCAAATTTTTAATCATCAACAAAAAAAATCAAATCAATAAACAATTTTTTTTTTAATAAAAATACTTTAAAATTACTTTTTGTTCAAATAGTCTATAAACCGGTGACTTTTGGCTATCATCGGTTCGGGACCGTTGCGAACATTGATTAAAACCGTTGACCATTGAATTGGTTAGTTTAGCCGATAGTTGTGATGAACACATTGATTGACGCAATTGTTTTCTAGTTGATTCATCCTGGTATTTATATTTATCATTATTATTATTATTATTATTATTATTATTATTATTATTAGTAGTAGTAGTAGTAGTAGTAGTAGTAGTAGTATTAGCATGGACAATTAGTATAAGCCAATTGCTAGCTAAAATAATAACAACAACAACAAATAGTTTACTAGTTAACATTATTTAATAATTTTAATTTTTTGTATTTTTAATTAACTAAAAATAACTAAATAATTATTTAAGTATAAAACAATTTTTATACAATTATTTTTTTAAATAATATTTTTTAATAAATAAATTATTAAATACTATTACTAATAAAATGGAGTTAAATTTATAATTTTATAAAAATTTAATTAATTATAGCTCCAATATGATTTTATTAAAATAAATTTCAAATAATTACTAATGGAGTCTTATTTAATTAGTTTTATTTTATTATATCAATTAATTTAATTAATAGAATTATTAGTAAAATTATTATATATTAAATTTAAATAAATAATTTTTTGATTATAATTTTAATGCAATTTTATTCAAAATGTAATTTTTTAAAAAAAGAAATACAATAATAAAGTTAAATATAATTAAATATATAAATCAAATATAAAATTCATACATTAATTTATAAATTTTTATAACAAAAATCTAATTAATTAAAAAACTACAATATTTTTTAAAATTAAAAATTTTAAAATTTAATATTAAATTATTTGAAGTAATTATTGTTTTAGTATATTTATCGTCCAAATAATCTATAAAAAAATAAATAATAAAATATTAATTATATTATATATTAATTATCAAATTATTTTTCTTGGTTGTCTTACTTTAGTAGTAGTAGTAGTAGACTATAGTTGTGTTATATATTTGATAACCAATTTATAGAGTTGTCTGTATACCCAATAGCCTACCCTCACAATCCTAATAAAAACAAAACAAAAAAAAAATAAATATATTTATTTAAAAAAAAAATTGAATTGAAAAAATAATAATAAATTTGTATAAAATTTTTCAATAATAATAATAATAAAATTTATGAAAATTTTGCAAAAAAAAAATTAACTAAAATACTTTATAAAACTAAAGTAGCAGGGGCGGTTAAGAAAATTTAGGAAATTGATATTTTAATTGATATAATTTAATATATATTATAATTTTACACATATATATATATTAAATTTTAGATCAATCGGATCAATAATATTATAGTTATTAAATAAAATAA